TCAGTGACATCTAGTGGCCGCTGTTGTAGAACCGGTTTATTCAAGACTGTATGTCTGCAGCCTGGCGCTCTTCCTCTGTGTGCTCTCACCTGGATGCTGAAGCCGAGCCCCTGAGCTTCTAATTTCAACATAAAGCTCCGGAAATAAAAATATCTGTAGTGTACCTGAGATAAACATACCAGGTGCTTATACATTCAAGACGAAATACAAAATAAGCAATTTTGTGATTCTATATGTTTATGGTGTTTTGAGTTGTATATAAACACACAGCTCAGTCAGCAGGTTCTGTTCAGCTGTTGAAACAAACGGCTCTAACTCTCTCTGTGACTCATTTGAACGTCTTTTCATTCATTCATTTGGGCTTCTTGTAAACCTCGGCGCGTGACTCCTTCTTCACCGTACACTCTTGTCTTCTTTTGGCGCGGTGCTAATGTTTGAATTAATCATAGACTGTAAATATTAATTAATGCGCGAGTTCGTAAACTGCTTCTTGACCCAACGCACTTGCTGTTGCCAAGAACACAGACGAGAGAGCGCCAGGAAGCAGCCATACCTGACTCGGTTTATTAGCAGGTACAGGTTTCCCATAGAATCACGCTGTACCTGGGCGAGGACGTTAGCGAGGGTTTACTAGCTCATGATATTAGGTTTGTTTATATTTATTAACCCTTTGACTTCCACTCGAAGAAAGCCATTTGCAAAAAATGATTGTTGGTAAAATTGTGTTCCTGCCTCTTCATTAAGCAACATTACAGGTTCTATTTTTCAGATTACCCAATCAGGAAGCAGATCTGCAGGTCAACCAGCTGGTTGACTATTTAGAGTTACTTTGGATATGAATGGATTTCTTTCATTTCTGCAACAAAATGCTTTTTTCATATATAAACATCACAGAGAGAAGAACTTCTTTAACAGATTGAATGAGTAGCAATGGTTAGAAAAGGTGAACAAAATAAGAAATGAGTGACTTGAGCCAGGCCGCGTAGACTCAACCGAGCGGTCGACCATGTTTCTGAGGAATCATAGATATATATTTTATTGTCAAATTTATTTCCTTCAACTAAAATGATTGTTAGAGGGTCTATAAATGATTTTTTTTACCTGGACGTTTGCTCTTGTTCTGTGAGATTTCTGAGGAGCTGTGCAGCGCAGAGTCACTCCCAGTATTTTCCACAGTTTTAAGACAATGATAATGATGTACAGCAGCGCCACCCATTGGACATAATCAGGGTTACATACACTATTCAATGAGGTGAATGAGGATAAACAGACAAAGAGGTTTTCAGAGTTTGAAATACAGCAATATGGCGGCGGAAAAAAGGTCAACCGTGCTTTATGATCGAACTTCTTTTAACGATTGAATCTGCTCACACACGCTCACATCCTCGTTAAGTTCACCTGTCCGCTCACCTGCTCAGCTGTGATGTCATCTTGTTCCTCTGCAGGCTCTCCGTGTCAGATCAACAAGGTCCTCAGCCACCCGACTCTCCGATCACCATCACGGCTCAGGAGGACCGACACATCAAGTTCTTCGACAACAACAGCGGGAAGATGATCCACTCCATGGTCGCCCACCTGGACGCCGTCACCAGTTTAGCCGTGGATCCAAACGGACTCTATCTCATGTCGGGCAGTAAGTATCTCCTCGCCACCAACCTGTGTTTACAGATTCATATATATGTATATGTTGGGCCGTGAAGGACGGCGTGGATCCATCACTAGCCGGAGGAGAAAAGGTCGTATTTGTCGGCCATCTTTGAAGTATCCTTTGTGGTCGGCACTGAGCTTCCTTTATTTTCAGCATCGTTTCCTCGTTCTGCTTTTTAACCGTCTCGTCGTCGTCGTCTCCTCCGCAGGTCACGACTGCTCCATCCGTCTGTGGAACCTGGAGAGTAAAACCTGCATCCAGGAGTTCACCGCTCACCGGAAGAAGTCCGAGGAGTCGATCCACGCCGTGGCGTTCCACCCGACAAAGTGCTACATCGGCAGCGCCGGGGCCGACGCTCTCGCCAAAGTGTTTGTATGACGCGGAGCTCTCACTGCAGCTCCGCCGCTGACCCGCCTCCAGTGATCAGGGACCAATAGAGACACAGGAGGGGAGGGACCCTCAGGCGCTGGTCCAGCCCCGCCCCCCCTCACAGCCCTCTGGTTTCATGTCGGACTGTCAGACCGTGTAGCCTCAAACGGGGCTAGACCGGGGAGGAGGAGGAGAACTGCTCGAGTCCCTCATCGACCATCCAGGCAGGCCTGGGTGTGACCCCACACACACACACACACACACACACACACACACACACACACACACACACACACACACACACACACACACACACACACACACACACACACACACACACACACACACACACACACACACACACACACAGAGTGCCCCGTCATGACCCCCAGACTCAAACCTCACCTCCTCTGCAGCGAGGAGGCTCAGGACAAGTGTTAAAGAGAGCAGAGACTCTTCTGGCCCCCGTGACTTCACGCTCATCCTGGATCCTCTTAGACTAACTGAGACCGGGTCTCCCACTCCCAGTCCTCCCACTCCCAGTCCTCCCACTCCCAGTCCTCCCACTCCCAGTCCTCCCACTCCCAGTCAGGTTTCATGTCGTGTTGTTCCAGAGATGTCGGGTAGTGAAGGCTCTCTGGAGCTGTCGTGGAAGCCCCTCCCTCACCCCCCCTCCCACCCCTGTCGTGGAAGCCCCTCCCCCCTCGCCTCCTTCTTCTTCTTCTTATTTTTTTATTCTTCTTCTCTGCTTCCTGTTCAGACTCCACTCGCTGGCCTGCCTTTGTTTTCCTTTTTGAAACGTTTTGTCAAAATGTGCCTTTGCTTTAAAAAGGTCTCGGAAAAAATGTTATTTTAAAAAGCTTTGTTTTTGGGGGGCGAGGGGACGGCGACGGGGATGGCGATGGCGAGGGAGAAACGGAGCCAATGATCACAATGTTGTTAATTTTTAAACATCGGATGTAAAATTACAAATGCTTATAATAAACAAAATCTATATTCAGTCTTAAGATTTACTGTGCAGCGTGAGTTTGAGTGCTCCTCTTCGATAGGTGCGGCTGGGGAAGCGATTTCTGTGCATTTCACGGCGGCGAAGCCGTGAGACGGAGACGGACCGCTGAATATTTAATGTCTGTTCATTAGAGGTAATTGTACGATTCAAAGTAAACCATCTTGGTTATTTAACTACAATCACATTTGGTTCTCGATGTGTTAGGAACAGATTTGGCCGCTTTGCTCCCGTTTGACTTAAACGACTTGTACTGTACGTAGATTCCCCGACCGACCGTGTGGACACGCTCGACTACGACGTGCCGCATCACGTCCCGATATTTACAGTAGTCCAAGTGGTTAGCCGGACGTTAGTGCAGGACTGTTTGAAACCATGTTGGGTCCACCGTCCGACGCTGACGGAGGAGCGATGTCCGAAAGATTCCGGCGCTTTGCTGTAAACTGTGAGGAGGAAAAAAACAATCCTGGGATTCGAAAAAAAAAAAAGAATCAATCGAGATGTTGTACGAGACGAGTGCAGCTTCAATGAGCCATTTTCTCAGTCACTGGTTTGTATATGAAAGTATGTTCAAATAAAAACCTGCTGTAAAACCACAACTGGGCTCTGGTGTCGATCATTTCATGGACGTGAAATCTGTTAGCATAACGTTTGAAAGATCAATGATTGATAAGATAAGAAACCTTTATTGATCCCACACTGGGAACATTGGGAACATTGGGAACATTGGGAACTAGGAACCTTTGGAGGAGCTATGTGCATTTCCACCGCAGGAACTAGGGTCTAAATATACCTCTGGGGTAAAAGATCTAAAAGTGACCCTGCTAAGGGGATGGTACTTGCCAAAATTCCCAGAACGTTATGGGGGGGGGGGTTGTTGGGGTGTTAGGTCCTGCAGCACCTGCAAAGCTTAACGTCTCTGATTGGTCAGGCACAGCAGGGCTTTAGATCACCTACTGTGTTTAAAAGACTGATGCTGCAAGCTCACTGTTTTTCCACCTTTATCTGGGCTGTGTTGGAGTTTTAAATAGTCACATTTGTTTATAATATTAATAATTATCCTTAATTATTAATATAAATTAAAGATATTTTTTAAATAAGTTTAATTAATTCGGGGCACCACTCTGAGATCAGAGAATCACGTCAATCAAGTATTGTATCACAACTTTCTCAGAGCGACTCGGAGCGAGGAGACAGAAATGTTTATCTTAATGAGGAGGCGTGGTCGACCTCGTTGCGAGGTATGACACATTTTTTTCAGAAGCTGTGATTGGTTGATTAAAAAAAATGGAAGAAAGTGCTCTATTAGTGATAATGGGCGTAGACGGACAGTGAAGTCGTCCAGGCCCGATCCAAGAACCTAGTCACACAGCCTACTAAATATTTGAAAACATGCTCACCTGTGCAGCCGCCTCTTCACCTGCTGATTGTTGTATCAACGTGAAGAGATTGGATGCACCTGAGGAGGTCAGCACATGTAGAGGGACTCCCGGTGCAGCCTCACTTTGCAATGAACGACGTCAGAGATGGATGGAAATGTCTGCACAAAATATTTTTAGTCTCTTCAGCCCGACTTTGATTCAGTCGTGTTTAGAGAACACATCTACACAGTGTACACATCTACACAGTGTACACATGCAGGTTGCGCTTTAACGTTGCACAATCATTTATTACTTGATATATTTGTTGGTATTTTGGATGCGTTAAAGGTTTGTCACTTCAGTTATGAGTGCTGCATGTTTGTTTGGTAACCCTGACTTCACAGAAAACTGATGCTGGATTAATTTTCACTTTAAAATAACTTTGAAAAACAATTCACAGATGAGGTTTGGAATGATACAGATTCACATTAACTGTTAACAGGGTTAATGTAGAAGAAGTGACTGTTGGATGTAATTGCATCCCAGTGCCACCAGAGGGCCCTGGTGTGCTGTGCCTGTAGTGTAATTAACCTGAGTGTGAGTGCTCCTGATGACCCCCAGGTGAGCCTGGTAGTAATGTGCAGACATTTGTTACCTGCAGTAAAGTCCTCAGCTCCACTGAACATGAAGTGTCTGCGTCCTGTTAATATCTGAAGATATCACAGGTATGTTTCTCTGAGGGCGGGAACAGAATCAGTTCTGTAACACCTTTGCACAGAAGTTGCCTAACTCCCCGAGGTCCTTGTGACCCCCTCTTCTCGGCTCTTCGGAACAATACCATAAACCAGATTTATGTGCATGTTTGTATGTATGTCTATATATGCGCACATTGTTCTTATTATAATTAATCTTATTATTAATTATTATTCTTCTTTTTTCTCTCTTCTTCTTTTTCCTCCATCTTTTTATGATGGCCACATTAACACCAAACATTTAATTTTATTATTTCTATATATATAAATATATGTAAAATTTTCTTCTTTCCTTTAATGTTGACACATACATATCTTTTTCTTTTTTTTCCCTCTTTTTTCTTTTCCTCTCAATTATTTTCAATTTGGTTTCTGTTTATTTTTCTTGCTACTTCCCACTCAGCCTTTCACTTTAATGTATTATACTGCCACACACACATTCACACGTTTCTTATACACTACTTCAACTTACTACTTGACTTTTATTATTCTACTTCAATTGTATTTGTCTTTGCTAATGTTTTGTGTATTTTGAGTTTGTTTTGTTTATTTCTGTTTTGCCTGTTTTTGTTTATTTGCCGTTGCTTTAATTGTCATGTCTATGTGCACATTTTTGTTTTGTACTTGTTCACCTTATCACAATAAAGGAAAAAAAGAAAAAAGAAAAAACCTTTGCACAGAAGTTAAAACATGAGACTTGAAAGTAGATTAATGGCAGTTCATATGTTTCATACAGAAGCAGAGTACACATCATGAACCATAAATATGAATGTTTGAGGCCTTAGTGGCGTCCCCCGTCTGTTCCTGCAGGGGGCGCTGGAGTCCCATTGATGGCGGTCTCCATGCTGGAAATGCTGTCTCAGTCTAACTTTCAGTCAACCTAACGACAGGCTGAGAGCTGGAGCTGAGGCGGGTTTTAAACCTCCTGACAAACCGTTACACCGCGCCCACCTGTCAATCAGGTCAGCTACACACCTTATTGTGAATAACTCTTATCCTTCATCAAATCAAAACTGATGAGTCATCAAAACATTCACCCCCCGTACAGTGTGTGTCCATCCAGACATGAGCTAATCACACCTATTTGGTTTTTTGAACCAGGCTGTAAACATGTTCATCTCTGCTGTAAAAACAGGCTTTTTAGAATGGGTGTGTATGTGACTTCCTGTGCTTCTGCAGCCAGCCTCTAGTGGACACTCCAGGAACTGCAGGATTTTACACTTCAGGATCTGCTTCATTTTCAACTCGAGAGGTTACTGCTTGTTACACATTTGAATTAGTGGACTTTTAAAGATAATGTTTATGTGTGTGTTCATAATTCATGAATGAGAAAGGAATAACTGACTGGAAAACATTCAGGAGCCTCTTTCATTTCTCTTCATTTTCTTTATTTTATTAAAAATTGCAAAAAAAAAATATTGATCAAATATCTGAACATTATTAGCAAAAGCTTTTTTTTAATATGCATATGTACAAACTGGACACGATAGGGAGACAATCATAAATACTCTTTAAAAAATAAAGACAGAAATGTTTCCATGTTGGAGGCAACACGGCGGTGACAGCAACGCCGAGGAGACGAATCTCCGTCATTCTGAGGAGCCTTTTTTCACACCGGGAGACGAGAGAGTCTCCTTTCTTACTCCTCTGGTCTCTTGTCTTTGTCGCGTCTCACGCCGGCCTGGTTGCACATTTTAACTGCCGCTCGCACCGACTGCAACGTCAGCGCTAACGTCTTTCAGAGGAACTTTAACGATAAAACCTCTCCTACTAGAAAAGATCCAAGAGCACCGACTTTAAGAGCGAACATCTTCTGTACAGAGAATCTTTCACAATGCACCGTTATTATAATGATTCCGTTTCTGAAGGATGGTCAGCCAGAAGAAGAAGAAGAAGAAGTGCTAGGCATGCTTTAAATCTACAATTGTCTGCGAGCAGCGAGAAGTAGCTTCATGTTTGTTCATCACTTTAAAGAGCCTCTTTATTGTTTCTGACGCTGCATGAAGCGAGTTTAAGAACGTTAGGATGGTAAAATATTATCGCCGTCTGCTGCAGAATTTATTTCTTGTGGTTACAGATTAATGCACGACATCTGAATGTAGACAGCTGCTTTCACACATGAACTAAACTCCTGAAAATCTCCTGATGTTTTAACTCTGAGCGTCATGTGATCACTCAAACACCTGAATGTTTCTCTCTTCACTCTGAGCGTCATGTGATCACTCAAACATCTGAATGTTTCTCTCTTCACTCTGAGCGTCATGTGATCACTCAAACATCTGAATGTTTCTCTCTTCACTCTGAGCGTCATGTGATCACTCAAACATCTGAATGTTTCTCTCTTCACTCTGAGCGTCATGTGATCACTCAAACATCTGAATGTTTCTCCTCCAGCCTCCTCGTGTTTATTCTGCAGAAAGTCAGAGTGAGCTGATGTGAGAACACAGCAGGATATAATCAGGAGAATTCACCTGGAGCCAGTGGGAGGGGCCAGTGGGAGGGGCCAGTGGGAGGGGCCAGTGGGAGGGGGTGGTGACCTTTACTCCCTGTGATGGCTGCACGACCATAGACTGTCTGCACGCCACCTCTACCATCTCCGTGCTCTAATCAACCTGCTGCTGCATGTTTCCTGTTCTCCAGGATGTTCTTCTCCTCTCTTTACTTCACTTTGAGATTCTGTTCAACTACACGTAGCGTTGATACAAACACACATATTCTCATTATGGCGTCGTATAGAGGACTCTGTTGTAGTCTTACTTCAGGAGACCCCCGCCCCCCCTCCTGTCAGACCCTGCCCCTGTGGTGCATGTGTGAACGATCAGATCAGGAACATTTTCAGGAGTGTTAGATGTGAAAGCAGCTCTAGATTCAGATGTTCAGCATCTTGTTTTCAGGATGGAAAAAGGATAAAAAAAAAAAAATTTTAAATGTGTGAAATGTTTGCACGATTTTCTTGTAAAAACCTTTAAATCTAATAAAAAATTATTAATAATGTACGTAAGCCCAAAGCGGACGCTGTTTCTCTCGTTCATTTCTCCTAAGAAGTCAGCTGACATGAAGTCGTTATCACGGGAGAATCGACCTTTTTAAATCACAAGATACTGAGAAAAATAAGCAGAGATGTGGAGGAAACGATGCCCTAATGACGGGGGAGGGGTATAATTAGGGGGATTTTTCACAACCTGGCAACCCAGATTTTGGTTTGTCGTTGGCTTCAGAGAGATTTATTATTATCTGAATAAACATGAATTAGAGCCTCAGCGTGTTAACCCTTTATAAAGTGTTCATTATTATTATTCAAAATTTAGGGATCCTCTGCTCTCTTTAGGACCCTCTACCAGCAGCACCACAATCCTCACCCAAACTCAAGCCCCTCCCCTTTCAAATACGAGGCGCTGCAGCCAATCCAGCGCCGCTATCTGTGCGTCAGAGGGAGAAAATTAACAATCTTGTCTCCTCCCTCCTCCCTCCTTGTCTCCTCCCTCCTCCTCCTCCCTCCTCTCTTCGTCTCCTCCCTCCTCAGTTCCTCGGCTGCGAGTTGAACTCCTGGCAGATGTTGTGGATGATTTTGGGAACAAACTTGTAGAGGTTGTCGAACTCGTCCACGAAGAACGAGTGCTCCTTATCGGGGTCGGTGGCGATGTACTCCAGCTCGTCCTGCGCGGCCCACGCAATACCGATGGAGTAGGCGATCACACCTGGAGGAGAGAGAGAGAGAGAGAGAGACAGAGACAGAGAGAGAGAGAGAGAGAGAGACAGACAGAGAGAGAGAGACAGAGAGACAGAGAGAGAGAGAGACAGAGAGACAGAGAGAGAGAGACAGAGAGAGAGAGAGAGACAGAGACAGAGAGAGAGAGAGAGAGAGAGACAGAGAGAGAGAGAGAGACAGAGAGAGAGAGAGAGAGAGAGACAGAGAGACAGAGAGAGAGAGACAGAGAGAGAGAGAGACAGAGAGACAGAGAGAGAGAGAGAGAGACAGAGAGACAGAGAGAGAGAGAGAGAGACAGAGAGAGAGAGAGACAGAGAGAGAGGGAGACAGAGACAGAGAGACAGAGAGAGAGAGAGAGACAGAGACAGAGAGAGAGAGACAGAGAGAGAGACAGAGAGAGAGAGAGACAGAGAGACAGAGAGACAGAGAGAGAGAGAGAGAGACAGAGAGACAGAGAGAGAGAGACAGAGAGAGAGAGAGAGACAGAGAGACAGAGAGAGAGAGAGAGAGACAGAGAGACAGAGAGAGAGAGACAGAGACAGAGAGAGAGAGAGACAGAGAGAGAGAGACAGAGAGAGAGAGAGAGAGAGACAGAGAGAGAGAGAGACAGAGAGAGAGAGAGAGAGACAGAGAGACAGAGAGAGAGAGAGAGAGGAGACAGAGAGAGAGACAGAGAGAGAGAGACAGAGAGAGAGAGAGAGAGAGACAGAGAGACAGAGAGAGAGAGAGACAGAGAGAGAGAGAGAGAGCGACAGAGACAGAGAGACAGAGAGAGAGAGAGAGAGCGACAGAGACAGAGAGACAGAGAGAGAGAGAGAGAGAGAGCGACAGAGACAGAGAGACAGAGAGACAGAGAGAGAGAGAGAGAGAGAGAGAGACGGTGAAACAACAGTTCTAACTTGCGTTTCTCACATCATTCCACGTTTAAAAACCGACCTTGGCGATGCACAGCGAGTGCCGGCGCTCTGACGTCATCGTAGGAGCGTCCGTCTGTGATGACGATCATGATCTTGCGTTTGTTGGGTTTGGATTTGCTGAACAGCTGCTCCGCGGTGTACGTGATGGCGGCCCCGGTGCTTGTCCCGCCGCTCCAGTAGTTGACGCGTTTGATGGCGTTGAGCAGCTCGTTCTTGTTGTTGTACTGACCGAAGGCGAACTCGAGCCTCTGCTCGTACGTGTACTGCACGGCGCCGACCCGCGTGTCTGTGTCCGAGATCTCGAACTCCCGCGTCACGTTGGCCACAAACTGTAGCACCGTGCGGAAGTTCCCGTCCACGCTGCTGGAGCCGTCGATGACGAAGGCGATGTCGTTTGCGTTCAGGCAGGTCTTGCTGCACACCAGGCGGTCCGTGTCGCACACCCGCTTCACCAGAGGCTGGACCGCCTTCCTCAGAGCGAACCAGCTGGTCACAGGCAGCGAGAAGAAACCGTTAGTCCGACACACGGCCTGCAGAGAGAGAGAGAGAGAGACGCATGCCGTTACCGTGACAACAGCTCAAAAGAGAGCGATAGAGAGAGAGAAAATCAGCTGAGAGGTCGAGCTGGATGAAAAGATGATTCACCGCTCACCTTGTCGACAAAGTTGGCCTCCACCAGGTTTTGTTTCTCGTTGTCGTCGGGTCCCTCGATGGTGACAAAGAAGATGTTGATGCCGGACTCCCGGGCGAGCCGAGACGCCTCGTCCACCTTGTCCGTGGGCCAGCCGTCCACCAGAACCACGGCCACGTTAGGAGCGCCTCCTCGGTTGCCGTTGGCGTCACTGAAGTACTGCCTGTTGATGTAGGTGAGGGCCTTTCCTGCCGGGACACCAGGGGGCAGCAGAGAGTTTAAACAACAGAAAACACACGAGCTGCTTCATGAAAGTAAAGGACTCTTTTTTAAAATGGACTCAGGGGGCTGGACCAGATCCCAGCTGTCATTGGACCAGAGGCGGGGTTACACCCTGGACTGTTCACCAGCCAATCACAGGGCTGAGATATAGAGACAGACAACCAGCCACACTCACATTCACACCTACAGACAATTTAGAGTCAGCAGTTAACCTAACGAGCATGTCTTTGGACTGTGGGAGGAAGACGGAGAACCAGGAGAGAACCCACACATGAACGAGGAGAACATGCAGACTCCACACAGAGAGACTCCTGAAGGACGGGGATTCAAACCAGGAACCTCCTCACAGAGAGACTCCTGAAGGACGGGGATTCAAACCAGGAACCTCCTCACAGAGAGGCTCCCGTCAGACGGGGATTCAAACCAGGAACCTCCTCACAGAGAGACTCCCGTCAGACGGGGATTCAAACCAGGAACCTCCTCACATAGAGACTCCCGTCAGACGGGGATTCAAACCAGGAACCTCCTCACAGAGAGACTCCCGTCAGACGGGGATTCAAACCAGGAACCTCCTCACAGAGAGCTGCTGAAGACGGGGATTCAAACCAGGAACCTCCTCACAGAGAGACTCTGAAGGACGGGGATTCAAACCAGGAACCTCCCACAGAGAGACTGCTGAAGGACGGGGATTCAAACCAGGAACCTCCTCACAGAGAGACTCCTGAAGGACGGGGATTCAAACCAGGAACCTCCTCACAGAGAGACTCCTGAAGGACGGGGATTCAAACCAGGAACCTCCTCACAGAGAGACTGCCGTCAGACGGGGATTCAAACCAGGAACCTCCTCACAGAGAGACTCCTGAAGGACGGGGATTCAAACCAGGAACCTCCTCACAGAGAGACTGCCGTCAGACGGGGCTATCTTACACGGAGGTGTACAAAGAACTTCACCACCCGCTCAGTAAACTTGTAATTCTCCAGTTTTTTTTTTAGGTTTTATGGACGATGTCACATTCCTTGTA